AGGAGCTGGAAGAGGTGGTGACCAGGATGTGGAGGGTCCAAGAGAATTATGCCTGCCCTTGTCTTAGTTCTTGCAGCATGCAAGTCTTCAGAAATGGTTAGGACTGGCATGTGAAACTGTCCGGTACAGTTGGAGTTTGTCCTTTGTGGCAGCGCCAAATCAGACTGTGATGGAAGAACACAGGACTGCGTTATAGAACTATTTCAACAGCTTCTGTGGCACGCCATGCTCCTCAGCAGCCGCAGGAACAATATCCTCTGCTGGGCCTTTTTCAGGACAAAGCTGATGTTGAGAGACGTAATTCCCGGAAACTTCTCTACGGCGAAGGATGTTTCCTGAAGTCCACGATGATCTCAATAGTCCTGAGTGTGCGCAAGACATTTGATGGAACCTCATCCAGCCATCCCTTGAGGACTTTGTTTGTGCTGGGGCACAGTCGTGTTGGAACAAGTTGGACTCATAAAATTCCAAAATAAATACTAATTGCCTTTACTGATTAAGATCAAAGTGACCTTTTAACAATAATAATGATGTCATCATTCTCCCCTGCTTTCCCAGTATGTTGGTATTTCCAACAAAATAATGCCAAAGAAACAAATCCTGAGTTTCCTGGAGATTCAGCCTCATCATACAGACTTACTACAAAAACTTGTTAAGTGATACATGTCTTGAGAGAGACAATCCAGTGGTAGTATTAGGCAATAAGACACAATAATTATCTGTGTTCCAAACACACTGTTCTGCTTGCTAGACAATTTGACTCATGGAGTTTATTCCAGGAATGCAACTATAGTTTGCGTCACCATTTGCTTTCAACACACTTTGGAAAACCATGACTTGTTACCTCAACTTACTCATCACCAGATGTCTTACTCACCGAAAATGACCTGAAATTTTTCTTAACTCGGTATTTGTACCCTCAGGTTACTTCTGAGATCACTGATAGGAATAGTGAGAAGTAATAGTAGATGTTGATGTAAGATGAATGCAGAATTTTACTGCAGCGCCGGATCATAAGTGTGTGCTGAAAGGACTCTTAAAGTGTTGAAATTAACACTCTGATGAAATTATTGAAACTGTGTAACTTCAAAATGCTTTGGAAGTCGAATGCTCAAGCTAAATTCTCTGGAAATCATTCCTCAAACGTTCCACAATAACAGTAATGCTACCGAATACTAAAGTGTCCCATCACCCCAAAAAACACCAACAATTTTGGGATGCGCTTGTAAGAGGGTAAATAGCCATATTGTTCTGTATTTTTTTAAAAAAAACACATTGATACACAATAAAAATAAATATTTGTTTCCATTTGAATTTCAACAACTTAATCTTCTTCTCGTGACTGGTGACGGCTCATTTGTGACTTCAAACTGCTTTAAGAAAGATTTTGTGATGGCAAGTTTGATGATATAATGGATTTGTTTTTTTTTTTAACTGCAATTGATTTTAATGGGTGCGGAGTTCATGGGTTTGAATCCGTTCCCACGCTTCCTGTGTGGCATTTGAATGTTCTCCCCATGCCTGTGTGGGTTTTCTCCGGGTACTCTGGTTTCCTCCCACATTCCAAACACATGCATGGTAGGTTGATTGAACGGAGCAAACTGTCTCTTGGTATGCTTGTGAGCACGAATGGTTGTTTGTCTATGTGTGTGCCCTGCGATGAGCCCATTCATATTTATTTAAGTTCTGTGATTGGCTGGCAGCCGGTTCAGGGTGTACACCGCCTACTGTCCGAAGACAGCTGGGATAGGCGCCACCACACTCGCGACCCTCGGATCAGATAATGCAGGGGTGTCCAAACATATTCGTGTGAGGGCCGCATTCATAAAAATGCAAGGCTGCAAGGGCCATTTCACTTGAAAATTCTTCAACTTTAATTCATCAAACACGCTAAAATCAGTCAAGCAAGCAATGATACACGGGACAACTTCGTTTCAATATACCCCGTTTACAACATTTTCGCCACTATAGTGTTTACATTTCAAAGTTCCGATTTTAGGTAATTCATTTTCCATTTGCCAATTCTGCTTACAACGAACAACTCTATCACGTAAACATCATTATAACAACCAGATTTTCCCCACAAAATAGTGAAAAGCTCTTTGTTACAACGAACCGTGGGAAGCTAACTGCCGCCGCGACCTTGCTCATGAAGAAAATGTACAGTGTGGGATTCCCCTCCGTTTCTTAGCAACATTACCGCACAGCTCGTACATTAGTGTACTTTCATAGACATGGCGCGGTCCTGAGCACATGCTCTGAACACGTCTGATAAAAGGAAGGCTGTGAAGGCTGAAATTGTCTCTCCCTTTCGAAAGAAGGGAGCTCAGCCGAGACTTCAAATTGGCAAAGTCAATCATTTCGACAATCATCCATAATGGCAACAAAATCATGCCAGAGTTCGAGGCCAACAGATTGAAAGATGATCGTTAATGGCTTCGGGGCGCAATACATCCTGAATTGATGACAGTTGGCTTCATCGGCGGCACTGGCGGTTGCCTATGGCGGGTAACATTTGCTGACTGAATGTTTTCAAAGCTGAAGTAGGAACGCTACAGTTGTTTGTTTCATCTCTTATAAAATATGTTTTTCTTCACATACACATATTTGTTTATACTGTATAACATATTCATGTTTTTACATCAATAAATGTTCATACAGTATTATAAATCTTAGTTGGCGGTCATTTTATTGGAGATGGTGACAACAAACTACCGTTATAACGTACAGATTCATTATGTCCCTCGAGGTACGTTGTGACAAGGTTCGAGTGGATTGTTAACATTTTCAAGTTACTTTGGAAAACTGTGACATAGCAGTGTTCTGTTAAAGCTGATAAAGCAAATTGTTGAGGAGTTTTCAAGGTTTTATGTGTGGCCAACGGACCAGTATCGCACAAGACAGGGCCCACCCCTCCACTGAACAGTAGCTGAATGCCAGCTCCACATTCAGAACCAAAACCAGAGCAAATTGTAGTCAGCTTCAATTGTGAAACTTCGAAGTGGGCTGCACGGTGGGTGATCTCACAGTGAAGCGACACAAGTAAGCAATAAAAACACATAACATCCATATGGAGTCATGTCTTATCTGGATCAATGTCAGACCTTCCACCTGGATGCCTTCTTCAAAGTTTAGCAACCGACACCGAGCATGTCATGTCATCTTCACATGGAAAATGTCAGCACCTGCGGCTGTCAGCATAACAGCTGAGGCCATCTGTTTTCTCCGCTGCCAGCGTCACTGCATCGTACATCCTGAACCAATCACACAGCTCAAAAAAAAACAAAAAAACAAAGGCTGGGTTACCTCGACCTCGGGCCTCACCCTGAGTAGTTGAGTCTGGTGGGGCAAAGAAAGTCAGACATGATAATCTGGGAATGTGCGGTAGTTAATTACAACTAGGTTGTGTCCTTTCAAATGACATTTCCGACACTTAAAAGTTGTATGTCAGATTACAATACCGCCACACTTAGGTGGGTATGACTTAATCAGACTGGATCATCTCATCTTTCAAAACATCCTTCCAAGACAAACCCATGCATTACGCAGTGGTGTCAAATTTTCCACACGGAAGTTCTATTAATACAGTAGATGCTCCAATGCTTACATGGAACAAAAAAAAGACACATAATTGCAATATAACCTATGAAAACAACCTTCCAGGAAATATTGTTGCTTTATTTTTCAACCATTCACGTAGAAGTGTTTGTGTAAAGCAGTTATGACACCGCATATGAGCGGACACTGTTAAACCTGTAAGAAATTGTACCCTGACCAACTTTTCAGTCAAAATGAATTTTCATGCGATGAAAGGTGAGTCTTTCTCTTGGAATTGGCAGAGAAAGTGGAAAAAGATATGTAGCACTTGGTGTTGCAGGATATATTGGTCGCTCAAAACGCACAGATGATGAAAAGTGGTTGAAATAGCAAATTGAAAGAGTGAGGCCAATACATTATTTTTGCTGTCAACTGTGAACATTTGGGTTTGACACCAAAAGAAAAACAAGCCATTCAACCTGGTATGTATGTCTGGATATGACATACAACTTTGTTTTTATTTTTAGCTTTATTGAACTAAACACTGCATTTTAACCCTTTCATGCACCCTATAAACTGATAACATGATAAGTTGTCCACTGTAGCAACCGCTATCCATGAAAGGGTTAATTGAGTGTCCTATTCCACTTGTTGAGTCAAACAATTAATGGTGCCAAATATCTAAGGTCAGTTTCATATTTTGCTTTTGCTTGTGAAGATTTAGTTAGCTGTGTAACCAACCTGAAAATCTGAGAGCTGGCTGTCAATGAAAACCAATCAAAGTGAAGAAAACATTAAATCTCTACCAGCTATTCCATAAACAGTCACCGAGGACACCACTGACTGCACACCACTGCACAGATATCGCTGTTGGTGAGGGAGAGGGGAGGCTTGCCACACACGTATGCACGACTTGGACCGGGCATGAAAATAGGGCCCCATATGTGAGCCTTCACCCAGTCATGTCCCAACTTGTTGTGCTTTGTCCTGTACAGGTCAGCCTAAAAAACACGGGGATATATGGCATACAGTGAAAGGACAAAAGAGATGTAGCATATGCACACATGTATATGGATCTCTCTCTCTCTCTCTCTCTCTCTCTCTCTCTCTTTCTCTCTCTCTCTCTCTCACACACACACACACACACACACACACACACACACATGCACACGCACACGCACACCCACACTCGCTGAATTGTAAAAAATAATGTTTTATCTGTGTAAAGCACTGTGTTGCATTTTAAATGGAGATGAAGTGCTATATAAATGAAATTCTGTTAGATTTTTATTTGCCTTTTTTGTATTCGTATGGGGGGAAAAAATTGTAAGACCTAGTTTGGATCTTTAATGCAGTTATATTTTTACCCACTGGCCATATCAATCGCAGTGCCGTGCTTTTTGGATTATAAATCGCAAATATAAATCGCACCAATCAAAAAATTGCACCATGAAGGAAAAAACAAACTCCAATTCCGATGAAGTTGGGGAAATTGTGTTCAACATAAATAAAAACAGAATACAAGGATTTGCAAATCATCTTCAACCTATAATCTACAAACACAAGATATTTAATGTTCAACGTGATTACCGTTGTTTTTAGCAAATAATAATTAACTTAGAATTTTATTGCTGCAAAACATTCCAAAAAAGCTGAGACAGGTGGCAAAGAAGACTGAGAATGTTGAGACTGCTCATCAAACACCTTTTTGGAACATCCCACAGGTGAACAGGAAGAGGTGGGTGCAATTATTGAAGGAGCTTCGCGGAATTGTTAAGTCATTCACAAGCAAAGATGGGGCGAGGTTCACCTCTTTGTGAACAACTGCGTGAGAAAATAGTCCAACAGTTTCAGGGACAATATTCCTCAATGTACAATTGCAAGGAAATTTGGGGTTTCACCGTTCAGAATATCATCAAAAGGTTCAGAGAATCTGGCGAAATCACTGCATGTAAGCGGTAAGGCCAAAAACCAACAGTGAATGCCCGTGACTTTCAATCCCTCACACGGCACTGCAGCAAAAACCTACCTACCTAAACACAGCCATCTCGTTATCTCTGCGTCCCGCGTCCTAAACGCATAGTTTTCCCGTCAGACGCATAGTTCCAAATAATGTGCGTTTTTGGGACGCAAGGAAATTTCTTAGTAAAAAAAAAAAAAACTACGGTAAATCTTTTTTTTTCCAGCAACGAACGCAGTTTGAATCACCGCCATTGTTGTTTTGATCTTGCGTTAAGTAATCTCACGTGACGAGATTTCCGTTCTCGCGAGACGAGATTGGCGAGATCGGCCTTCACTTCGTGGAAAGCTGACGATAGCCAAGCTGTGTAACGTTAAAACAAGTGTGCCGAAAAAGTGTTGCGAAAGTTTATTGCGCAGATATGAACTCAAAGACTGAACCATGGGATGAAATAAGAACCTATTTCTCTGCAAATCTTGTATGCCTGAATTATTTAAATTTTTGCAGCATTTGTTTCGAAGAAATAAACCTATTATCAATGTATATTGTTGTTGTTTGTGTTATTATCATATGCAATTGAATAAGTAGACCATTTCAGAATTCGAAATCTGGGACTCTCTAAATGCATAATGGGACTCATACTTTTCTGATCAGTGAGTCCCTGGGACTCGTAGGGCTCAAACTGTAAAATTATCACTGTAAACCTGAATTTTTATTTGTAATTTGTTGCTTCCCCAGACTGACAGGACATGACCCAGTCGCAACTTCATTGAAAGATTGTGCAATTTCCTAGTTTTCCTAAATATAAACTTCAAAAGGGATCATCTCGCTAATCTTACCACCCACCCAACCTCACTACTGTATGACAGCTCACCCCGCACGCCCCGTGCTGGTTCAGTGGCCGGTCAGGAGAATTCAGGTGTATCAGAAGGGGGTGGGGGATGGGGTGGGGGGAGAAGAGGCTTTTGTAATCCCTGAGAAACTGAGGGCCTAACCTATCACATTCTAACATTGTGAAATTCTAAAAGAACTTCAGAAGCATGTCCACTTTTGTTCAGGTCCAAAACCAAGTGGTGTCATTTTATGCGGTATAACATAAACAAGAAGAAAAACCCTTTCACAAATGTTACATAAGCATATCATTGGAGGAAAAAGTGTTTTGTAACCGCTTAAAGAGGCACCATCTTGCCCCAGATCATGTTGTTTTCGTTTGCGTGGACGACCAACGCGTGTGTGCGTGTGCATGCCTGCTCGTGTGTACGTGCTCATGTCTACGTGCATAAGTCTCCATAAGAGGCAAAGGTCGATGGGAGAATCGTGACAAAGACAACGCAGCTGAGTTCTTTTTCCATTCCAGATGGAGTTTATCTTCGAAACGTATTTATAGCAACCACAGACAGAGATGTGCCAGTGATTACCAACCGGGGAGAGATGATAATGGATGCCGGCCGCAAGATATTATCCAATATCATTTAAGTAGTCTGAAAATTATGAGTTAATATTATGTCATCTTCGCTGATCTATCTATGCCAGTAAAATAATAAGTCGTGGGTTTCTTTGAATATTTTTGTGGTATGCAAATTTATGTTTTATGTCATGTGCCCTTGCGTGAAAAATGGGTGCTGGCTCAGTAAAAGATGGGAAGCATGTTGGCAAGAATGGCCAAAATAAATATTGTACATCAAATTATCTCTTAGAAAGTGGCATTCACTGGTCAGTAACTGAAACACAATTGTGGCTGTTTTCCGTTCAGAAGTCGTTGAAGATCCGTTAGCTGAAGTCATATAGACTCACCTGTCTCAATGACTTATACTGAGAGCCGGAAATATCTATGACCTTCCCTGTTTATGCTCACATATACTGTACAACACCCACAGAGGCCCTCCCAGCCCCCTTAGTTACAAATTAAGCATTGTAACATGTTTATTATAAAAGAATGAACAGCACCTTTAACAATTCGATTGATGTGGGTGATTCATGGCTACCTGAGAAATAGTGCGTGACTGTGTTACCACCCACAAAGATAAAAGTATTCATGTTCCGTGTGTGCGGCACAGGTAATACGTGCGGCAAGCACGTCTGCCTTACAGTCAAACATCTGTGAATGTGTCGTATGATGAATGATTGATGGTGATCCGACCAGGATGTACCTCACCTTTTGCCCAAAGTCAGCTGAGATAAGTAAGCTCTGGCTCGCCCTTGACCCTGCACACGATACAGGAAGGTGGTAGGAAAGGTGTTCCTGCATAAGCTCGAACTTTCTTTGAATTCTCGTACAATTCCTTCACTTCATTTCAAATGCACTTTTTAGTTCCAGCATTTTGCACGCACTTATTTTTCACATCATTTTTAAGATTCAATTTTGAGCTTCGAGTTGCTGCACGCCTCCCCCTTAAGTAAGCTTAGTTCTCACCTCGCGTGCAAAAGGCAGGCGTTGTTTGTTCTGATCGACAGTAGCAAGTTAGACATCTCACACTGTTTCTTGGCTTAAATCTTATCTGTGGTATTTTTTTTAAAGGCCATGTGAAGCACTCACGCAAGCACCTGAGCGACACTCTAACGGATGATCTCAGGTAATGTGAGAAGAGCTTGTTGTGTTGGTTTGGGCGAGAAATAAGCTTTGTACGTAGTTGCGTGTGAACCGCTGGCTAGTTGCCATAGGAGAGAATGAATTGGTTGCGTAAGAACTCAAGTATGTTTGGATTTTGCACGACTGTGTCACAGATTGATAAGTTATAAGAACAAAATCATGTTTGTGAACATTAATATTGATTGATTGATTGATTGATTGATTGATTGATTGATTGATTGATATCCTGTGACCCCCGCCTATTGCCAAAGGGGGCTGGGATAGGCTCCAGCATGCCCACGACACTCGTGAGCTTTAGCGGATTAGAAAATGGATGGACGGATTTATATATATCTGATCAAATGCATACTGCTGTTTTCCTACTAGACGTTGACAATGCGTGTCAACGTCTAGTAGGAAAACAGTATCTAAATGCATTAAGAACAATCCAATAGAATACAATGCATCTTTATTTATATAGCACTTCCACAATATCTGCAGCTGTAAGAAAGCGCTTTACAGAACAGACTCTCCGTTCCGAGTACGCATCCTCTCTCCTCATCCTCAGCTCCAGCAGCTATCCATACAGCCGCACCAACACAGACTGTCCGACAGCGCTGACATCTTTGTTGAACAAAACGGGGCTGTGAAAAATGCTGCCCATTACAGGTGCAAAAAACACAAGTGCCCCTGGCCTAGGCTGTCAAGCAGTGACAGTCAAATAGCGCCGACATTCCCCACATCAAAGTCAGTGCTGGTACACGCGTGCTGCCAAGAAGGCGCAACCATCAAGGACAGATTCTCCTCCTTCGCCGAATGTTGTGGCCAAAATGCTAAAAACAGTCCACAACAAACAGCATATGACAAAAACAACAAAAAAGCAGAGCTCTTGAAATGTCTTACAGACGGCTGCCAACAATGGTGCCATCTTGAAACTAAATAACTTTATTAATTTTAATTATTATTCGAATAAAATCGAGCCGGCTTATTTTTCTGCATGATTTTTTTTTACATTTCTTTAATTAGATTTTTTTTTTAATCTGGTCTTGATGTACACGTTAAAAATCACAATATCAATACTACAATATTCAAAACCCATATCACACACACGCACGCACGCACGCACGCGCGCACGCACGCGCACGCACGCACACACACACACACACACACACACACACACAAACACACAAACACACACACAAACACACAAACACACACACACACACATACATAGCGGGCCAGATCTGTTTCCCGGGGCTTGACTTTGACACCTGTGGTGTAAACACTAACAACTAAGTGTTGTAATAACTTGCTGATTTAAAAAGGATGGTGGGATGTTAGAATTGAAGGTTGGATAATGGCCATTTTGGCTTATTAACGCCCTCAAGTGGATGTAAAATGAAAGTGCGATTTATTTACAAAAAAAAAACTACAATTCCCAGGTCAACTAGCGTCCATCCTATCACAGTTACTTCCGTAACTCACTGGAATTCTTCCGTGCTCCCTGTTTTGCCTCGCAATGGACGGTAACTCTGTAAAGGCTATATTATTTGACTTGGACAACACGCTCATTGAAACAAATCGGGCAGGCCATTTTGCGATACAAAAGGTGGTTTTCCTCTGCTAAAAGTGTATTTTTGTTTCAATGCCAAATGACTCCCAATCGAACTTGTGTTTTGGACCGGACGGGTTGCGTTCAGATTCAGACCATCGCGGTATCCCTCGCGGCCAAATAATTTAACTTCCTACTACTCTTTATTTTGTTCCCAATCATGAAGATGCCCTTTATCATTCTTGTTCCGATTGCCTGTCATTTAAATGTACAGGTTCTAGTGCATTGTTACATAGATAAGTATTAGTTTGCCAGTTTATCAGATGCTGCTGCTTTTTTTTTTTTAATGTTAATTAAAACATCACGTGATTGGGATTCTGTGGACCGATGATGAGTCTCATACGGAGGTCTAATTGTATGTTATGGTTATTGGATTATACAGTATTTAACTTTGAGCACTCCAA